GGCATTGTGCCACTAAGTGAAGATGCAGGTAAACTGCAAGCTTCTCTGGATAGTTTGAGTGCTAGTGTTTCCATGTTCGGTATGCGTTATTCGTTATTCATCTAAGTGGGCAAACAAAAGACAGCAACCAAAACCGGCGCACGATAGAGCATGGTAAATGGTTGTTCAAACTGAACTGAAACTGAGCGATGCACCCCGCGGCAAGGGTTGCTTGTGGATGTGAGCTTCAATCCCGTCCAAGACATAGTATATTCGTTGAGTCGTTTTTACTAGCGGAATAACTTACGAGCCCGTGCTCCTCTTGTACCCATAGGATACTTATACATTTGGATGGTTTCACGGCGAAAAAGAAGTCAGTTAGAGTTCCAGGTAGGAGATAATACATAATGTAGACTTCAGTGAATTTGCGTTTGCTTTTAGTGCTGTAAGAATGTGAGATGAGCCAAGGTTTCATGGAGTTTATGCTTGAAAGATTCAATAGTGGGTGCACAAACGATGTGGAAGTGCATTCCAACTAATGCATAATCTGGCGGAAAAAGATTGGCGCCCGTATTCCAGTCGATACTTTGGAACTGTCAACTTGAAACGGTGTCCCCTAAGGTGTACATTGTGTGATAACATGAGCAGCGGTCGACACGGATGGTTTGGGTTCTGCAGTATTTGATACGCCAAAACCAAGTCTCCTCGAGTTTGCCGGTACTAAGCAGAATACAGTCCCAATGATCGTAATTTCTCCTCATAGGTGGGGTTACGATCATTGGGACTGTATTCTGCTCAGTAGAATACAGTCCCTCATAGGTGAGGTTATGCAATCCAATCACGACGAGACTGCACCTTGACGTGGTGTGATGGCTTGTGCACCCCTGTGACCCAACGAGCCACACAGGATGGCTTTTTTCAAGCTGAAGATCTAATCATGCCTGGAAGGTCGAAGGGTGGAGGTTAGACGAAGTCCAGTCTACTGGTCCTCCAGGTTGAGGTGAGACTAGAATTTGCGTTTCAGTCGGTAAAAAATGGTGGAGGAGTAACTGATCCAAGTAAATGGGCCTTCTTTTTCGCTTCTGCTGCTGCCTTGCGATTAGGTTCTTGTCAGAACTGAAGGCTTTGGTTGAGAACCCTAATCGTTCTCCTGCTTA